CTTACTAATGTGGGATTAATTTTCTACCCATCAAAAATGAATCAAGTCATTCCACAACTAAGCATAAAATGTAAACCCAAGCACATGATTCACATTTCTAAAGAGGTTTGTAATTATCAACATAAAATAGAGCCTCTCTCTGCTAATGCAGTACTTTTTAAAAGTGTGTAAACTGCAATTTGATGCAATGCCCAGTTGCTAATTTTGCTCAGCAATTAGCTCAATTAGAAGTGCACATATTAATGAATCAAATGAAATCCAGCAGAGGTGAAATAAAGCTCGTTGAATTTGACTGAAATTGGTTTGCTGACTATCACCAGTATCACTCTTTCTTTCTTTTCATTTTTTTGGGGGGTTGTTTGTTTGGAGGACTCCTTTTAGGCCATCTCTGAACTGACTGATATGATCACCACCTGTGAGACACACAGTGAGACCATAAAGGGATTCTATTGACTCCTATAAACCAGGTACCTACTTGGTTTATACCTTCACTTCACACAGATGAATTATCTCCATTTTAAAGAGACTGGAAATGAGGAAGGGAAAAATATAAGGCCACTTTGGCTAAAACTCTTTGCTCCAGAGTGTCAGAGAATATAGAAAACCCAGCCGAGGTTAGCTCTGTCCCTTCAACTTCCTATAATTCAGTAGCTTCCACTTTATGATGCAAAAAAAAAAATCTCCCTAAGCCTACCACTGGAAGCTTCAATCTGCCTTTGATAAAGTAGGTTTTCAACAAATGTTTCTTGGATGAATTTTCAATGAATATGGCAGCCACTTACATGGGAAACTGCCAGTGGTATTACATACGAGAGTTGCTGGGATGCTTTAATGGCAAAAGAAAGAGACTCAAGATTTCCCCCCTCTCTCTCCCCTCCAGCGTAACTAAGCCCTATCTATTCATCATGTTCCCAATGAAATAAAAGGATATTGGGTGCAAGATCCAAATATACCCTGTTCGATTTAAGGTCTGCCTTACCAAGCCTTGAAAAAAACAAATCAAGCAATGGTCATAAAACTGACCCTGTGGGTGAGAAGCACAGAGAGACTCAGTGTTACAAATAGCCTGCTCTCAAGGACCTCAAATACACCCAGAATCCCATAGATGGCGGCTTCCCCACAATAAACACTATGCTAAACCAACCCAGCAAACCAAAGCTCTGGCCCCCTAAGGTGTGCACATTTTATGCTACCAACTCACAACTATTATATTAATTTCCCTCCCAAGTGCTTTCGCCTCCTGTTCATTACCATTCATAGCTCAGCTTGTCAGTTTAATCCTGTGCAACTTTTTGGGTATCTTCAATAATTACACTGTTTAATTCTCTACCTTTAGGTAGAGATAAACAGAGCCATTTAAATGCATTCTTCCAGGCCATCTCAGATTCCTACACAGGCTTCACACAGATACACACACACACACACACACACACACACACACACACACACACACACACGAGCTAGTCTTATTTCATCCAGTAATATTTTTCATCTCACTTGCTTTTTTCCCATTATCTTCTACAGTAAATCTGACCATGGCATTATTATGGATGCCACAGTAAACAGCTAATACATGTTGTACACACATGTGCTCTTATAATGAATCAAAATGACATACCCCTCCACCCTACCTGGCTTCCTCCATTCTTTCTAATCACATAATGGACATTTTTCTTTATTGCTCTATAGAAAAAAATAAGCGACATAATAAAGATGGCTTCTTCACAAAAATGGTATAAAAAAATTCCAGATGCAATACTTTATCAGCAAGAGATATTTATGCGGTTGCCAAAATGTGTCAGAAGTAAGGCTAAAAGGTTTGTGATACAAATGATATGGTAATACTGTGTTTGTTACATGTTGTTCTTCCTAATCTGTGATTATTACTTTAATCACCAAACTAAATTTGGCACAAACAAAACAGGTAACATTTCACACGGACTTATATTTCTTGAGTGCTTTCTATGGATACAGTACTACTTTTAAACTCTTGCTCCACCCCACTCCCCCAAGAAAAAAGTATTTTTCCAGCTCTATCTAAGTATATAACCTAAAAACAAAAGACATGAGAAATGAGATAAGGGAAATATTTCAGTATTTTTAACTTTTTATGTCTTTCCATGGGAAAAAGATAGAGTAGATAGGGTGTTTTTATTTCTTGTTTCTCCTCTCACTGAGGCTTACGAACAAATTGGCTCTTACACCCAATCCCATCTTCTTGTGTCTGAAGACCTCTAGCGAAGGAAAAGACCTCCTTACAGGAGTCAAAGAGAAGGTTCTGGGAACAAATGAGGTTTCCAAGGAAACTACCATTTAGATAAGAGAGGACAGAAATATAGAAGAGAACTGGGAAGACAAAGGAAGGATAAAGTCACTTAGCAGAAAAAATTAAAAGAAAATCTGGGAAGGAAAAAACTCCTAGAAGAAAAACCAGGCCCACAGCAGCTGAAAAACCAACAAAAAGCGAGGGGAGGAGATACTATATATGGCCATTATTATATAAGGCTGAGATCAATACCATCTCACTCAATTTCAGTCAGTCACTCATGGGCCTTAGATTAATTAGACTAAATTAGAGGCTCTGATTTAGAACGCTGTTGCACAACAATCGTGCCCACACAGGCTGATGAATCTTGGCCATACCTCAATGGTTTTCTATAAATTATCAATCAGTTGGAGGATTTAATTTCCTGAAATTGGAGCAAGTATGGCTTTCCAGTACATACCTGAGGAGGAACCATGGGAGGAGGAGGAGGAGGAGAAGGGGCAGAAAGGAAATGCTTTGGCCAGTTCTCCTTCCTCTCCCTCCTTTATCCAGAGAAGACCTTTCAAGCTTCAAAGGGTCCAGAGGAAGCTGAATTTCCCAACTCCACATCAATATCCTTGACACATTATGGTACTACAAGGAGTGCAATAAAGAAAATACATTATGCCTTAGAGGAACTTATGAGCACCCCACAAATGAGAGAAAAGAACTTCCAGAAACCAGAAGCAATGATTCACTCCTTTTGCACTAAGCTTTAAACCACCTTTCCCTGTATTGTGTATGCACTTCTGGGTGAGTGTGTCACAAACCTCTGAGGGGATAATATATTCAAACTTTTCTTAAGGGGCAACCTTAGTAAATATACTTACCTAAAAACTATTTAAGGCTGGCTAATTGATTCCCAATGATAATCTTACTGTGCACACCAGCAGAGACGTATGCCAAAGGCATTAAAAATGACTCCGGAGCCCTCCAGGGCACCTTAGAAATTTGAGGGACAGATATAACCATGCTCTGGGGATCTGACGCATCTATGAGAGCGGAAATTGCAATAAGTATGCTCAGAGCTTACAAGGGCCATAAGTAGCAACAAGGACAATGACAACCAAGTTACAGATTATCACAAAAGAATGAGAAAAGAAGAGCAACGCACTTCAGGAGAAAACACAGCATCATCTATACAAATCACGTCAGACAAACCATAGCAATATTAAGTCATAAAATACAGCTTTACAAATTCATTCACTCTTCATTTGCTCTACTGGCCAATGAATGAATCCATAAATATTTACTAATACATCAGGTGTCAGGAACTATGCAAGTAGTTACACCTACAAAAACAAAATTCTTAAAGTCCCTGCCTTCCTGGAATTTACATTCTATGCGGAAAACAAAATGTACACATATGAGTCAGCATAAAATATAATCAAGGCAAATAAATACAAGGTAATTTGAGGAGAAAACATTGGTAACTGAGAGAATCAGGAAAAGATTCGTGTAGGAAGTGGTGCTTGAGCTGAACTTTGAAGGAGGCAACATTCAATGACAGTCAAATCAAAAGGCATTTATGAAGCTCCTATATACCAAATACTACGCTTAAGCTCTGAGAATATAAAGAAAGGCAAAAAACAGTCCCTGCTCTCAGGTAGCTCACAATCTATGGTGGAAACAACATGTAAACTACTTACAGACAAAATACAGACCAATTTATCCTAACTGGAGATAATATCAGAGGGAAGGCACTGAGGTTAAGGAGGATAGGTAAAAGTTTGATGCAAAGAGAGAAACTTTGTCTGAGACTTGAAGAAAGCCAGAGAAGTCATTAAGTGGAGATAAGGCTTGGAGAGTTCTGCACACAGGGGACAGCAAGTGAAAAATTATGGAGTCTGGAGATAGGATGTCTTTTGAGAACAACAGCAAGGAGTCCGAGGTCAATGGATCACACAGTATGTAGGGGGTAGAAAGGACTTTTGGGATCATATAGTCCAAAATAATTCATTTTACTGATCAGGAGACTGAAGCCTTGAGTGGTAGAATGGAATGAGCAATATGATGTAGTAAACACGAATTCTGAGTCAAATGATATGAGTTATAGTCAGAACTCTGCTACCTAATACCTAGAAAACGCTGGCTCAGCCTCTCTGGGTCTTAAGTTTATTCATTTGTAAAACTGAAGGTCTTTTATGATCTCTAAGGACCCTTCCAGGTCTAAAATTCTATTCATCCTATGGTGCAGGGTCACAGAGCTAACAGTAGAAAATGCAGAACTAAAATCTTCCAGTGCCTGCCTCTAGCCTTGAAGAATACTCTTTCAGAGGCCATGACAACATAATAGGTAAATCACTGGAAAGAGTTCATATAACTTAGAACGAAGTGGGGGGAGAGAAGGCCTTGCAGGTAGCAAGGAGATGAGAGAGTATATAAAAAAGGAAGAATGACGTAAGAGGAATAAATCACACTGAAGTAGACTTTCTAATCAAATTAAAAGAAGAGGCATTTTATTAGACAGTAATTGCATTTATTATCAAGTGATTAAGCATAAAGTTAACTAGAAAGGTCATGTTGAAAATTAATTAAATACCTTTAAAGAGTTCCACAATAAGTTTCAAAGAATTTAATGTAGTAGAAAGGTGGATGAGATATTCACAAGCCACAGGAAACAAAAAATGGAAGAATTAAGTATCCAAAATGCTTTGCTTATCTATGAAGAAGAGCCAAGATTTTTCAACTTTACCTGACATTCTGAGCCACAATATCTGGCAACTTTGCATTGAGAACATCGAAGCAGCTTTTCTTTCCTGTTTAAAAAACAAACAAAGCCTATATTAGGACATGAAAGAACTACATATTCTCCAATTACTTGAACATAATTCAAATGACAAAGCAAAGTCACACCAGTCAGGCAAGTGTGTAAGCCAAGATGTGACCCTATGATGTCATTGGTCCTCCTGAAAAATGAAGAACAAACAACAATCAGTCAGTCAATAAGCATTTATTGAGCACCTACTATGTCCCAGGCACTGTGCTAAGCACTGGGGATACAAAGAAAGACAAAAGACAGTCCCTGCCCTCAAGGAGCTCACAGCCTAGAGGGGGAAACAGCATGTAAACAACTATTTACAAACAAGATACAGACTGGATAAATAGGAAGGCACCAGCATCACTCTGATTGGTCTTTGTTTCCTTTGTCATGCTGTAATGCAGAACATTATTTTACCATTTAGGTAGTAGAACCCTTTAGGCCATGGAAACCTCCAAATTCCTTAGCAAGACCCTTATCTGGCTGCTCAGGCCACAGCCCTCAGATCATATCTCTGGAAGCCTCCATTGTGAGAAAGTTTGCAGAGCATTATCATATCTAGATAGAGGGAGAGGGTGTCCTCGACCAGCAAAAAAAACAAAACCAAAAACCCCCAAAAAAACCCAAAAAAAACCCCAACTCTTCCTCTTGCCAGACTTCAAAGATCCATCCCCCTCCCTGTCCTGTATACTCCCTATATAAACCCTAGCTCACCCCTGATGGGGCTGCTTGATTTGGATGTGAATATCCCTGGCAGCCGGCCTAATATAATAAAGTCCACAATTTAAATTAGTCTGGGTGAACTCGCTAATTTTTCGGTATAACATTTTGGAGGTCCCAGCGAGATAGCAGCGTACCGTGTCGCTGCAGAGACCCACCTGGAGAGGACATCGGCCTCGGGAGGGGGAAATTGTTCTGTTCTGACTTCTAGGGGAGCCGGCCCCTGATGATGTTCCAGGGCCCCAGGACTCAGGACTAGGAGAAGCCTCCCTCCCCGACTCCGACTGTACCTCATTTCGGCCCTCGTGGACCTGGTAACCCTCTGGAGGTAAATGTTTGCAAACCTGTTTTCTGGTGGGGAACGAGTGCCAGACGTGGCAGAGCACCTAATTAGTGCCTCAATCCCCCAGGCACCCCGAGACGTCGGGACTATGCCTGTATCTGGTTCCTGGTACCCGGTTTCTGGTTCCTGGTTTCTGTCTTAGTTCTGTTGGGCCCGTGTCTCGTTCCTGGTTTCTGTCTCAGTGTTGGTCTATTAGTTTATATGTGTAGAGATTGTGTTTTTAAGAGATTCTGTTTTGCAATCATCTGCCTGAAGCCACCTCTGTTTCATACTGAAAGACAGGTGTCAGACTGGATTGCAGACAGACAGTTTTCTCCAGGGCAGTTCCTTTGACTTCATTGGGAGGATGTGTTTGTGTTCAGGCTCTTATTGTTTGTCTGTGTCTGTGTTCTGCAATAATGGGGGGATACGGCCAGTACATCATTTCCCTCCCTTTTGGGTTGTTTGCAGCCAGACAGCCAAAGGCTGCAGCAGGACTCTGAAAAGTTGCCTTCATTCTCCCCCTCTCCTCCCCAGGTAACAGCAGCTTCAAAGCAGTGCGTGGATGGGAGAGGGAAAGAGAGAAGAATACTTTATTATTTAGGTTATATGGTTGGTAGAGGGCAAGTTGGGAAGGATTTTTGAAGTGTCAGGTCAGAATTAGAAAGGAATGAGATATGTACAGGTTTTAAGGGGATTTTAAATCATTAGAAAGAAAGGCAAGGAAGTTTAAGCATGTAGGAGAGAGGAGTGTGTGTAGAAAATTTGAAGGGAATATGATTTAGTTGCATGGTGTGACTGGAGGTTTTGAAAGTGAGAAGGTTTTGGGACTTTTGCATGAGTAATAGTTTCTCTCTCTCTCTGCATTCTAACTCTGGCCAAGTTTGAGTGTGGAGACAAAGAGAAAAGTTCTTGTGTACCAGAACATAGACAAATGGTTTATGTGCTGAGGACTACGGCTTGCTGGGTTTAGTTGATATTTTCCCACGAGCCCCAGCTCATCCAAATTGGTAAATATGTGAGGTTTTCAATTTCAGCATTTGTTACACTGTTTTGCACTTAGGTACATTGAAGGAAACTCAGACGAGTGGATTGTTTTGAGTGCACAGTGAGGGCAGTTTGAGGAGAGATGGAGGGAATTATGTCCACCCACCTTTCAGGCTAGATCCCCGGGTGGGTTCTTTTAAAGACTGGTCATTATGGGAAAGAAAAAGCAATCAGAATACTGGTCCAGTACATTTCTAAGCTTAACAAGGGTATTGCATTTGGGAATATATTTTTGTCTACCCCTCCAAAAACTAAATAAATAAATAGGGGAGAATGAATGGGTTAGAATAAACTTCCAAATTTTATTGCTTTTAAGAGGAAGTTTCACCTATAATTCTTATCAAATCTGTGTAAACGTTTTCTGTGTTGTGAAATTCCTGAGTAAATGAGAATTCTTGAGATAAAAATTGAGTAAATTTTTAAAGTTTGATAATATTTGTTATTGTGGTAATGTTCTTCACGCATTATAAAAACTGAATTTTGTCTCTGTTTTTGACTAAGGAAATTTGATGTCTAGGAATTCTGTAACAACTAGGAATTTAGTTTGTTATGGTACTTTGGGAAGTTATTTATGTTACTTGAGGACATTTTACATCAACTTAGTTTTAATGAATTCCATTTTTAAAGGTTTATTTTTACTTTAAGGTAGAAAGGAAAGATATCTATCACCTTAAAAATTTCTAACAAATGTTCTTCATGAAAGTTTAGTGATTATTCCTTCTAACATCAGGATAAACTGTAAGCTTTTTTAGAAAGGGAAATACTTTTTACAAAGTAATGTTTTGCAAAATCTTTTTGTATGATTTTTAGAAGGCCTACTAAATTTCCATTTGCAAGCTAATTTGTTGCAATAATTTAATACTGATAACAATTATGTCTTAATCCACTGTGAATTTTCTAAGTTTCATTCCTATGTAAATTGTGTCCTTGAATTGGCCTTAAATGGGTGCTTTCAGAGAAACAGAGTCAATGGTTCCTGCTTCAGGTAGCATAAGAAAGGGCACTGGTCTCAAGAATGTAGGTTTGAAAGTTCAATGCCCCACTCTAAGTTTTTAAGGGGTGGACGTAGAAGTGAAAAAGATAGGACAGCTAAAACATCTTAGCAGATTCTGGAAGTTTTTGAGATTGATCATTAAGGAGTTTTTAAACACCTCCTTACAATCTTGTCACTCCTTTCCCCCACTTCCTCCCCTTGAGTCAAGAGGGTATCTCTGTGTGGGGATCCCAAACAGCGCTGGGTTTCTCTGTTAACCCCTTTCATCCCAGATCAGATTAGGAAGAGAGTGTTTTACCCCCCTCTCCCCTGCCCGCAAATTCACCTTCCCCCACCTGGCTATAGGAAGGAAGGGGAGGGGCAGCAGCTACAGCCTGGAAGTATCTTCCAGCACACAGCCATGGGGAGTAAAAGGGGATGGGTCAAGGTAAAGAAGCCAGTCTATAGGGATGGGAGTGGCCCCAGGAGACTGTTGGACCTGGTGAAAGGGTCTAGAAAGAAGAAAGATTTTTTTATTGGGTCAATTGTATTAGTTATGTTGCTGGAAGGGCAATTTCTTTTATAATCTAGAATGTTAAATTGTGTCTTCAAAAAAAAAAGGAGTCAATTTGGCTGTTGGGGCATTTTATATGATCCTGTTTTGTAACATTTCCTTTTAAATATTGTAATTCAAGGAAGTATAAAATTTACAAATTTTGTCTCTATTGAAAGGGAATTTTCAGTTGAAATTGTCTTGTTATAATTTATAAAATTTGTGAGATTGTTAACTAAGTTATTTGGGGTTATTGTTTTAATATCAAAACCTAAGATTGTTAATTGATTACTTGTGTGTGAAAAGGAGGGGCACATGGCAATTCCCCTTATTTTGTAAACTTGCCAGGATCCCTGGAAACTATGGGGGGGGCAAGGTCATCTGCCCTGAAAAAAAAAATGCAGCTTCCATATGTTTGTTTGACATGTGGCATGGGAAGGAAATTTTCTTAATTGAATGGGTTGTAAATTCAATAGAGCAGGAGGGTGTCAAAGTGTCAGCTGAAATTATAGACCAAGATATCTGTGTTTCTTTTACCATTAACATGACATAGCATAGTCTATGTTCATAAGATACCAAGATAAGAAAAGTCCCATTGTTCTGGAGAGCATTTGGTCCCAGACATCTTGGGCTCAGTGATAACACAGAAAGAATGTTGGTCAGTTCTATCTGGTCCTGGAAAGGGGTGTTTTTGGTTCACTTGAAAAAAAAAAGAATTAGTTCAGGTTTTTGGCCCTTATTGGGGTTCAATTGATTATACTCACCTCAAGATGTTCCCATTGTTTAAAGGAATTATGAGAGCAGTAGTATTTTTCTGTGATCAGTCTCTTACTATTACCAATGTGAGATTAAATTCTTATTATCCAGGATTTGTGATTTTATGGGACAGACATTTACTATTGTTTTGAGCTTTGATTACCAGGGTACTTGTCTGAGTTGTCATAAAGCCAATAGTAGAATGGCATGTGCTGCAGGCTGATAACTGATAAAGGTGGAAGTCTGTGCCTGGGAAGACTTTTGAGGACAACCTTGGACACAGCCTAGATAGGATCTTCTGACTCTATTTCCCAATTGTGCTATTTCCTTTGACAAGGGAAATCCCCACCTGATTAATCCCAGGCCCTGCTTTTAACATCCAGTGACTACGTGATTACCTATCAGATATGACTCATGCCTGGAATCAAATGGAGCTAAGGAAGTTCTTTCCTTCTGATATGATATATGACCCTGTCCCTCTGGAACATCCCTGTGTTACCGTAATAGGATGCAAGTACATTCATGGCCACATAATAATAATATAGGGATAACATCCCCCTAAGGAGGAAATGTTTACACACAATAATAGGACAAAGGTGTAATGTGATAGATGTCTAATTAAATAGGATAGCAAATTTTGAGAAAAGCAATAGGATTAGACTGATATGATTGGCTTCCAAGATGTATCTATCATGCAATCCAAGCTTTAAGCATGTTTAGGTAGGAAGATCACAGTTTTGGATTTTTACACTAAGCCAGAGAAGCAGAGCTCCCTTTTTGAACTGCCTATGAATTAAACCGATTGTACATGAGCAAGGAACTTAATGTTAGTTAATATAGGTAATACTGATTGTATTGATTTGTATGATTCCTGTCTAAGGTTTTCTTTGTTACCCTGATTACATGTAAATCTCTCTTTTCCAAACTAGTCTATTGTGAGCTCTCTGATTGGTTTAATCTGTACCTGACTTAATGTAATTATGCAATTTTGCGAATTATGAGTAAACTTTGTTGTATTGTTTGAACCTAGTCCTGTGTGACTGGGAAAACTGAACTATCTCTATGTGCCTTTAACTAAAAACTTATGAGGGATTCTGGAATACTTAGGAATTCAGTTTCCTTAATACTACTCTGGAATTTGTGTTATTTAAGAACTTTTGTACCAATTTAGTGAGGTTTTATGAACAAGAGTAGAAATGCATGCAAGCTTTTAGGGCTCATTTTGGAAATGTTCCTTAGGCAATGTGACATCTTAGGGTACTACAGAACTGGGACTTGTGTTCCTGTGTGTGTTCCTATATGAGTTAAGGTTCTTTACAATTAGGTCAGGGGTTTGTGAAATGTTATTTTGTTATTTGGGTAATATCATACTTGTTTAAAGTTGTGTTACAATTAATAATGTTAAAAGGGAAATGGCTTGCAGTTTATCTTGTCCATGTCATCAGAGAAACATGGCATGACTGAAACATTCAAGATCCTATATGCACTGTGTTAAAATGGATGCTTTCATATATCTATGTATGTATTGGGGCCTGTGGATTAATGTAAGGTATGCATATTGTTGTTTGCTCTTGTTTACTATTTAGTGGGGGGTTGGCAGTATGGGTCTGGCTCTTATGGCAGTCCTCTTCCTTGGAGTTTAAAGCTTAATGATCCTGGACAAGTCGCTTTACCCTGTTTGCCTCACTTTGCTCATCTGCAAAATGGGCTGAAGACAGAAAAGGTAAACCACTCAGGGGTCTTTACCAAGAAAACTTCAAATGGGATCAGCAGGAGTTGGACATGACTGAAAAACAATTCCCTTCAATACCTCCCAAGTAACGAGACTTATAGAAACCAGAGACCTTTCTTATTTCTTTGTCAGTATATCCCAGACCTAAATAAACACGATATAGACACTTAAACATTTGCTGAATTAAAATAAATTGAATCCCCAAAATTATGTCCCCCAAATTAGCTGAATAACAGAAATGGAGAAGAAAATATGAATTATAGAATGAAAAAATAAGGCTCAGAATGATTAAAAATTAGGCTTTCTTTGAGACCATAGGGTGTGTACTCCATAATAAAACTATGATTCCCACCAGCCATAAGTGCCTTCTCCACTACCATTTCTTTTTTTTTTTTTTTGGTTTTTGCTAGGCAATGGGGTTAAGTGACTTGCCCAGGGTCACAGAGCTAGTAAGTGTAATGTGTCTGAGGCCGTATTTGAACTCAGGCCCTCCTGAATCCAGGGCCGGTGCTCTATCCCCTGTGCCACCTAGCTGCCCCCCTTCACTACTATTTCTTAAGAAAAAAATTATTTACTCTAAAAAATATGGTTGAAAATTCAAAATTCTGAAGTAGAACTAACATGATATCTGCTGTCACTTCCAGACCTTTGCTGTCACCATGTGCACCATGTGCAAGACCTTCTGATGCTAGCCTTCTGGTGAAGGGACTCTCTACTCAAGTAGGTAAGACAAGGCAAAAATGTTCATTGTTACTTAAAAAATTATCTTCTACTATATGAGATGAGAGAAATTATTATTAAATAAGTAATTGTTAATATTGGGAAGACACAGGATTTCTGAAACCTTGTTCTCTACTAAACCAAGCCAGCATTTCAAAGACATTGCTAACAAAGACACTGGATTAATTTTCTCCTCAATCTCTTTGGACTCCACCTAGGTGAGGAAGCCCAGGTTTGGGTGGGGATAAATTCTTTGATTAGATTGCCCAAGGCTGGGGAAGGTTTGGAAGCAAATGACAAGATCAAAGTCACTCCCTCAGTTCCTCATTAGAACAGGGCCACCTCTCAATATAATATTCATTCTCTCTTATTACTTGTTAACCAATTAGTCAATTGCCTCTCTCAGGAACGCCCACTCTTCCAAGGGCATATAAGTGTTGAGCGGGTTGGGTTCCATGAGGGGTCTTTAGCATTCAAGAATGTCAGTGACCCTTTTTATTCATTATATGCTGCATGATTAATAAAATGACTAATTACCCAGAAACCATCTCTCTCAAACTTTTTAAATGTCACAGAGATGAGAAAGAAATCTCTACTGAGTGAAAATATAATATAATCAGAATAATTTGGGAAATCTCTCCTAAATGAATGTTTTAGTCAACATCCTGTCTTAGAATAGAGGCCATTTTTACATTTATGTAATTGGGACAAGGGTCTTCCCAGTGGCAGCAGGAATGTCACAAACAACAGGAAGTTTTGACTCTCTCCCCCCTCAGTGTTTTTAGTGACTAACTGGGTGTGTGGGACCCAAGTTTCAAAAAGAATCAACAAGAGATGTTAAGGAGGTTAGCGGTTGAAGGGGAGGATAGAAATCAATTCCTGTACCCTGAGGCAGAAAAGATGAGAATGAAATTTAAAATGACTAACTGGCCCATAAGTAGGACTAGGAATTCTGGGAAGTGTTACCAGCTCTTTCAGAATGTCAGCACCTAGTCCAACAATGCCTCCCACTGGCACATAAGGACACTTAAGAGAGCAGCCAAAACCTCAGAATGGCCATTCTCAAAGGGAGGTCCCTAACTCTTAGCCTTTTGTTGTTGGTCAGTCTTGTCCTACTCTTCAAGACCCCACATGGGGTTTCCTTGGCAAAGATACTGGAGTGTTTTGTCATTTCCTTCTCCAGTGGATTAAGGAAAACAAAGGCTAGGTGACTTGCCTAGGATTACACAGCTGGTGAGTGTCTCCAGGAAAATTTGAGCTAAGGTCTTCCTGACTCCAAGCCCATGGCTCTATGCACTGTGCCACCTATGTGCCTCCAACCCTTACCCTATAAATTCCAATTCTAGTAAAATCCTATTCTAGTAGGAGCAACTACCTTCCATTCATAGCTTTCCTGCCTCAAGGTATAAGCATTATGTCTCTCCCCACTTATACACAGTGAGTTGGCAACTGGAAATACATTGCTAGCCCCTTCCCTTAACTTTACCAAATCCTATCTCTTCGCCCCTCCCCACAACTAACCTCTCCCACCCACCCTTTTACAGAAGACAAGGGGCCTGACAATTAAAATTATTTAGAGGATCAGATAAGTAAGCCTCACTAAGGAACTAGAAACACTGGGTAAAGGGGGAGGAGAGATGTTGGTGCCAGCAAAGCTAGTAACCATTGCTGGCAATTCTGCCTACCAAAGTGAAGATGTCCTCATTACCTGCACACTGACAACATGATAACTGGGACAATTGTGACGTCTATGAATAGAATTTAGGACTGGGGGAAATCTTATAAAAACTTACCCTAATTCAAAAAGTTCACATATAATATCTACTTGAAAATGAACTTTTAAAAGCAGTTTCTAGTTACCATTGTGATATAAACACAGTAGAACATGATTTTAAGATCCTAATTTAAAACAAAAGACAAAATTAGCTTTCTTCATCTTATGATACCAGAGGTTGTTGAAATAGCTGTTTGTATTTATGATCCTGCCATTCCAACATCATACGCTGCTCACAACCGATTAACACTGAGACCATAACCAAGACAGATTCCATCATTCTAGATTCTCTTCCCAAGGCCTGTCACTAGAACTTAGTTCTTATTAACTTGGTTCCACAATGAATGAAGTGTTCTTTTTTCTTACTACTGATGTACAGGTTCAAGATGGCTTGTGGAAAGACCAGAGGCGAGCATGGTAAGCGTAATGTTTCATTCTCCCTCTAAATCACATACCTCCAATTTGCTGCATCGATGAATTTTAACATAGAAATTGAGCAAAGCAAATAGCATGATGATTCAAAACACTTAAATAATTTACTTCCCGTTTAATGTATAATATAAATTCTTTAAAATGAGTTATTCATACGGTTTTGGCTTATTTTTATGCATTAAGCTACTAAGTAATGCAAATTTAAATTTTCCAATTTAAAAAAATGATCAACTGAACCCAAGAGGAAAGATGTCAGGATTGGAAGCGGCTGCAACCAAAAAGAGAGAAAAAGAAAATAGTGTTGGAGAAGTAGATACCTCTTACGGCTTAGCACAGCGCCTGGTACATAGTAAGTGCTTAATAAATGTTTACCAAGTAAATGAATGAATTCTACAGCCCTATTTAAAACAGTCTCAGGGCAAGTGCTGGTCAAGTGAAAATTTAGTGACAGGGAACAAACAGTGAAATGAAAAAGGAAAGTTAGATGTTATTGTGATTTAAAGAAAGTGACACAGAAATAGAAAAGGGCACTCAGAAAGGCCATTTTAACTGATTGTGACATGGAAGACACTGACGTATTGTGCTTGGCCCTAAAGGGCAAACTTAGAAGTGAGTGGAAGTTACAGGAAGGCAGATGTCAGATGAATACATAATATAAGGCAGAACTTTCTCACAATTAGAGCTGACCAGTAATGGATTGGGAGTGAAGTAGTCAGCTCTCTATCATGGGAGGTATTTGGACAGAGGTTGGAGATCTCTGCAGATTCCTGCAGTAGGAAGGGGCATGACAAGATCATCTCTGAGACGTCTTCCCTGCCTGTAAGTTGAGGCAGTTTCATTAAATAAACCAAACTCCAAACTCATTTTGTCCAAAGATGACATAACTCGAGATTGCAGCAGCAAGGTAAGGGGCAAGGAGACTGGGGTCTTCTTCTGAGGCTTAAAGGAAAAGGAAATACTTTAAATGCCACATTTCACATTTTCACACACTTGCCACAATCTTTCTCTTTGCAATAATGCTCATGTCAGTGTATTTCCTGGATTAGAACCCCTAAAGGAAAAGCAATAAAAAAAAAAATTAAGGTAGTTTTATTACTAGAATAGGGAAATGAGATTAAATTTTTCATTAAAATACCTATGCCACTAAAAGGTATGCAACAATATCCTATTTCCTTATATTCTAGGAGATAAACAGCCTATGTCTGAACAGAGTAAGTAAGATCTTAAGGAAAATAAATCAAAAAAAGGCAAGCTAAAAAAGGATCCCCTGTTATTTGCTCAAATAGTCCTTGACATGCTACATTGGAGTACATCAATGATAGAGACAAAATTCTCTGGTTGCTCAGTGTCCCAGGTAGAGCAGTCCATAGTGAGTGACCAAAATAAGTTTGCTTCCAATGACAGGTTATACCAGGGGTGGGGAACCTGTGGCCTCAAGGCCTCATAGGGCCCTCTAGGTCTTCGAGTGTGGCCCTTTCACTGAATCCAAACTTCACAGAACAAATCCCCTTAATAAAAGGATTTGGACTCAGCCAAAATGCCACACCCAAGGGCCTAGAAGGTCACACCCAAGGACCTAGAAGGCCACATACAGCCTCGAGGCTGCAGGTTCCATACCCCTGAGTTATACATGGTCAATTTCACCAACTCTCCAAAATGTGCAAAATGTGGGGAGGAAAATAAAAATTCAGAGGGGAAAGATGTATATAGTTACCCTGCTGGGATTAAGGGTACCCTTTAACACATATTAAACCTGAGATCTCTACACTATCTCTGAAGATGGTGGAGAATATGGGCATAGAACACTGCACATAATGTCAGACTTTTTTGGTGTGTTGGTTAGTTTTGCTAAACTGTTTCTCCCTACCCTCCCTCCTCTTTTGATTTTCATAATTATACTGAATGGCTCCCTAGGAGGATACATCAGGACACATACATAGGTGATATTAAAAACAAATAGTTATCAATTAAAAATAAAAGATATCAATAAAAATTCTTTTAAAAACACAAATCCACACACACAAACATACATAAGATATGCTGCCAAATTGTCCAGGTAATAAGCTAAGGTAACCTATGTCCTCTATAAAGTGAGTAGCCCTTCTTGAGGATCCCTCTTCAAATCAAGATCATGCTAAGATGATGACCAACAGTGAGGTAGAAAAGAAAATGTGAAATAGAATTCAGAGGGATCCTAGGTAATTCCCACTGTGGCAGATGCTACCTAACGCAAAATTCATTTAAAACTCCATAAAGCAAGAAGAATAAATCCATCCATGTAATCAAAGCTTATAGAGAGTATCCCCAGATTAAATAGTTGGCCTTTGGCTGAGGGAATGGGTGGTAGGTAGCTGAATCTTCCTTTCCTACATGAGATTCCTTAATTCCCCTCAATTCATTCACTGCTCTTTCCTCCACACTCCCGATGTTTCTAGAGTCATAAGATTATAGATGTTTCATAGAATCATAAGATCACAGACTCAGAATTGGAAAGGACCTTGGAGGTCCTTACAGATGAGGAAACTAAGGCTCAGAAATGTTAAATGACTTGACTAGGGTCATCCAGCAAGTAAGTGCCAGAAGCAGGAACTGAATCCAGATTTTTTTTCTGGCTCATAGTCTAGGACTCTATACCCTACCCCAAATCAAACTGTCTCTCTCAGTCAGAGCCTTTGCTGTCAGAGCTGTCATTGTTAATGGGGGTAGATTGGAGTGTCAAATGTGAGGCCCAAAGGGGGCAGCAAATTCCCAAGTAGGTACTGACCCAGATTACAATGTAAATGGGAGCAAGCTGGGTGATGAAGTGCATAGAACACCAGCCCTGGAGTAAGGAGGACCAGAGTTCAAATCCAACCTCACACACTTAATAGCTGTCTGACACTGGGCAAGTCACTTAACTCTCACTGCCTCAAAAAATTGAGAAATGTTTAACAAAATAAATAGATATTATGTTAATTTGTGGTTTTCTAAGTTAATATGCACAGTCAAGGATCTGTTTCTATTTGAGTTTCACAACAATGGATTAGAGATAGAAGGGTCTTTGGAGACTACCCGGTTCAACATCTAACCCAGGAAAGATCCCTCTTTGACACATCCACACATCCTAACAGCCTAGCCTGGGGTGGTGGCTGAGCCTCCTGGGGACTCTATTAGACAAGCCTCTCCCTTCAGCACTGGAAGCCAGGATATATGGTGGCCCACCATCGGCAATGGTAGAACAAATAGATTAGGAGCACAGGAGCTCTTATTCCTTGAGGCCCATTTGGACCAATAAGGAGCTGCTTTACAATCAAAGCCAGCCCTGATAACTGGAACTCTGCCCACTTATGGATGAAAAGGTCTATGTGAACTCTGGTTAAAGAGATTAATACCAACTTACTTAGGGACCTGATGGTATTTTCCACACTTGATGGCCACCACATGGAGATTCTCCTTTCATGTGCTATCACACACTAAACGTCTCAAAAAAAATCTGAATCAGCAAAGAGGTATTACCAGCTGTATTTGTATTGCTTATCTCTGGCAGAGAAGAGCCAAAGATTTAGAGCTGGAAGTAGGGGACTGCTGAGGCGATGAGAGCCAGTTGTTAAATGTTAATTGTGAGCATTTACATCCTAGAAATAGGCAACACTACAAATCAAGGCTTGACTGTTTTTTTAATTGTCTAGACTTGAGAAAGTGATAGGAAAAAATGCTAATAATGTAGATTAAACTGAAAAGTGTATGTACCTTTTTTTTTTTCTCCAGAAAACAAGCCGTCAAACATTTACCAGCATACCAACGGCTGGAGAAGACTGAGTGGCCATCTTTCTCTACCCATTCATTTTACAGTAGAGGAAACTGGGATCCAAAAGATGAAATGACTTGCCCAAGATCACAGAAGAAGTAAGTGGCAAGCTTGGAATTTGAACCCAGGTTCTCTGTCTCTAAAGCCAGCACTCTCTCCTTGCACAGTATTTCCTGACCTAGATAGTTCTAAAAAGATGTTTAAAGAAGATATTTCTGTAATAAAGGCTCCAATAAGCATTTTCCAAAGAACCAGGATAATAAAATGTCCTAAGGAGAAAAGGGCAGGGAAGAATACTGTGACGGACTGGCTCTCAAGAAAAAAGTTCCATATATGTAACCATGTGCTCTTTTCCCCATTTCAATAGACTGTTAAACTCCTTGTCAGTAAGGGCTGTTTCATTTTTGTCCTAGCATAGGGCCTGGCACATAGAAGGCATTTAACAAATGTTTCCTAAACTAAACTGAATTAATCAGAAACATTTAAATAAAGCTTAAATTTATTAGTATATTATGATATTAATATTAATTATTATTGATATCATTATTATATTATCAGAGATTTCAAATTGGAAGGGTCTTTGGAGGTCATCTAGTCTAAACCTTTCATTTTTACAGATGAGGAAACCGAGGCTCAGAAAAGGTAACTGATTTAACGAGGGTCATCTAGCTAGTAAATGTCAGAGATAGAATTCGACTCCAGGAAAAAAAAAGTCCAAAAAGAAAAAAAAAGCAAAGAATCTTCTTTTTCAAATATCTTTGACACTTCATAATCCCAATCCAACTAAAATTGTTACTGTCATCTAACTAAATATATGATCGTTTTCTTGTGGAGTTTTATGAAGGTGGAATGTTACACTTTGGGGCAGTTATTACCTAAAAGAAAGATGTACTTTTGTATCCCAAGGTGGTACAATTATCAGGCCCCAAATTAAATACAAAGAAAAATGCCACGCCTAATGATCTCCATTTATCATAAACATATGCAATGAACTGAATAGCATATAGGGATTTTTCATGCCTGTTTGAAGGTGGTAATTATGTTGTTGTGGGCCCAAAGGCCTTTTTAATATTAAAGAGATACATCTCCACTATCCATCTCTGTATCTTTTTTTTTTTATAAAAGAAACCCACAGATGGAATTTAAAATACTTTAGATTTAGGTCTAAGAAAAGTAGATTTGATTACGTGCCATCTTTGTCTGGATGAAAAGGCCAATGTGAATTCTGGTCATTTGTTTTCCACTCCATTTTCCAAAATACAAAGTACGATACTTTGTACATAGCACCAGGAAATGACTTTTTACTGATAGAAGATATAACTCAGAGTCAAGCTACCTGTATACAATTAGACCATTAACTAATTATAGTAGACATCAATATTAATGCTAAATTAGAAGAACGAACAAAAATTAGAAGGCACCTCATACAACTGCAATAGCTTCAACCTATTAAATGAGGTGCTGATGTCAAAAACTGACAAATGGAAAAAGGCAAAGATATCGACCTTGACTATCACTGTTTCCTTTCCTATACAAGTTTAACCCAAACAAAAGTCATTACAACAAGAAGGCCAAGGAAGGAGAGATGGGAACAAAGGCAACAATTAGTTTAGAATGCAAATACTCTTGTAAAATACAATGGAGAATGATGATAGAAGACCATAAAGGATTACCTCATTAAAAAAAAATGAAAAGTAGTGGAGGTCCAAATAAGTCTATGAAAAGCTCGAAAGGAGAACTTAGTATTTGCTGATTACAAAAAAGTATTTGATTCAGTAAAGCAAAATTCAGCTTTAAAGGCTGTCTCCCAACAAGGAATTTCTCATAGTTGTAATAAGGTCATAAAATATTCTTTTATGAATGCAACTATAGAGATAACTTTTTCAATGACATTTTGATTATGAACATCAAGTAAGGCATAAAATTGGGATTCTAAAAAGAAAAGAAAGAATATTGACCTAGAAATGATAGGCTGGTACTCAAGATAAAATAACTTATGTATATGAATGTGTGCTTTTTTTCCCCCCTATTCCAACAGAATGTGAGTGCCTTATGGTCAGGCACCCCTTCTGGCTATCATGAAAGATGTCCTGTTTAAGTTCCAAAGAGAAACGGAATTACCTATAGGTGGTAAAAATCCTTCAGACACTCTTATTTGTAGATTATATTCTGCTGATTACATCAAACTCTCAAATGTTACCAGGTCTCTTTAATGAGATCCATGACTATTTAAAGGAGATTGGCCTAACGATACATACAAGAAAAACTAAATGGATCAAAAATTCCTGTTGTCCAGAATGACAGACAGATGGAAGACCAGTCCATTGAATTAGTACATGTATCTGGGAGAGGCACTGGAGATGGACATTGAACTGGGCCTGTAATTGAACAGAAGAGAGAAAATTGCTTTGCATTTAGGAAACTGCATAGTGGTACTTTTAACGATTCCCCCAAAGACCCAGTACTACATGGTTGCAATCTTGGAACAACAGTCTTCAAAGAATCAAAATTTTCATTAAGAGCAATGGAAAGATGTTTAGTGCATTAAGTAGGCTATAGTATATTTCCAATGATGACCTAGATACAAATACCTAGCTCTACATTCAGCACACAGTAGGCACTGAGAAAATGTCCATCAAATGAATTTGTTTTGTTCATTACTCATGAGAATCAGTCTTCCTGCATATATCAATAAAAGACGATAACCTTCTCTAAAGGCATGCCAAAAAGAGTGACTGACTCTCAAATACCCAAATGAATCTGGGGCCTATTTGATATAAGTATTTCCAAATGGTATAGTGTGCCTCAAAACCAAGAAGACTTGGGTTCAAGTCTTGCCTCTGATCACATATTGACTTTGCAATGTTGGGCAAGTAATGTAACATTTGGGTGCTCTATGCAACTCCATAAGCCTACCTTTCAGAGAAGGTGTTGCCCTGCACTGGTAGATGAAATGCTCCCTGTTCCAATGAAATCACAGGTTTAGTCCCTAGCCCTAGCCCTAGGCACTCAAACAATGCAGTTCATAACCCATCTATACCTTCCCATTACGGTACTGGAGGACTTTCTAGATTTTTCTTAACACCACAAGGATACTAATGAAGTATATCAGTGTCTACAAGTTATTCATTGTTTTTGCTATATAACTAGCCCATCATCTCTGTTCAAATATTTCTTTGGATAATTCTTTATCCAGTTCTCCTTCAAAGCTCTTCATTGTAATGTGTTACAGGCTGCTCAAAATCACCATAAACCTTTCCAATGCCCCCTGGGTAGTACTCATTTTTAATATTTTAGAGACTATGGTGTTCCATGATTTGCAATTGGGCACAAAATATTGTGTTAGACACTACAGGGACATATTTGTGTGTGAATGTGTGTGTGTATGTGAGTGTGTTTTTACCTCCCCCACTAGACTACATATTTCTAGCGGGCTGGGACCATGTCTCATTCGTATAATTATACACACACACACACACACACACACACACACATACACACATGAGACATGGTCCTAGCCTTTTAGAAACTTGCAATCTAGTGGGGGAGATAAAACTAAATACACACAAATGAATATAATATGAAGCAATTTATGATAAATGTCATAAATGGTACAAATACAGTTATCCCTTCCACACTGTAGAGGTCAGGCACAGCGCCCTCCCCCCAAATCTGAAAAATCCATGTAAAATTTTTTGGCCCTCCTTCCATACCAGAGAAGAAGCCTGAATTATAATGGTATTCGAAGATAAAATATATTGATATTATAAAATACTATACATATATTTTATGCATTTCTGAGTTTCTAAACTTTTTCTATGTCATCTGCTGGCTTTTATGTGTTGTTTGCAGCTTCCACAAAACTCTCAAAAAATACCCATTTAATTTCTTATGCTGCCCCATGATATATCTAAAGCAAGATGAGGAAAGTCACTCTGTGGAAAGGATAACCACAGTTGGGGACACACAAATTTGGGGAAGAGCAAAATTATTTTCAATTGAGTAAATCAGTAAACACTGCACAGAGGAGGTAACAGGTTTTTACAACACAAGATACAAAGGGAAAAGGATAATCTTACGCCCTCTGCCTAAAGAAGACCCCGGCTAAAACTGAAAGTGCTAACTATATTTTTAGAGCACTTTCAAGAGGTTTCACTGAAAGCATATAAGTGCATTTTTAAGCATTTACAATGTGCCAGGTATTGTGCTAAGTGATGAGGTTACAAAATATAAGAAGACAATCCCTGCCCTCAGGAAGCTTACATTCTAGAGGGGGAATGACAACACATAAAGGGAGCTGGAAAGCCTGAAGTGAGAAGAAGGTGGGGAGATAATCAGGGTAACCTGGTTTAGAAATGGTAGCTAAGAAGTGAGATGGAGGCTTGAGTCTTATCTATCAGAAACCAAGGAGATTTAATTCTAAGTTCCCAGTGAGAAGGAGGAGGAGGAGGAGGAGGTGTGATTGAAGGCCAGAAGAGAAAATGGCATGACTTGGAGTTGATAACTAGAAAGTAAGGCTACCATTTCTAGGCCATATGAGAAAACAGTTTTTCTTGTTTACAACTGATACAAAGAAATGTCCTTATTCTGAATTAATTGGACTCCCTAAATACCACTCTCAGGAAATATATTTTTAGATTGTTTAAAAGCAAAAGCAAAACAATGTTTCTGCATATTACACTTAGCTATAATCTCAAATTTCAACTAATATCTTACATGTTTCTGCTTGATTTATTAACTGAAGTTATTTTTCTTTAAATGAGGTCAGAATGATGAGCTGCAAATTTGTCTAATTCGAGAAGTTTTAACTTTAAAATATTAAAAATGTTTACTTGAATGTTTCATCTGCAGAAACCATAATTAGAGCAGATTGGTATATCTTCAATAATATTAAAAGGCAATTACAACCACTAACATTCTGTTTGCTCTAAAGGAAGCAATTGTCTGTTGCAAGTTAAAGAGGCAATTAACATTTATAAGAGCACAGAGCTAAACTTTCCTCATTACACTAGAGTGCTTCTCTATGAAAAGGCATTCTATGCTACAGGTCAGACTAATGGCTACTAATCTAAAACTGGTGATTGGGTTACTGGGATAAAAATGCCTCACACATACACCTAGACTGAAGAAATGTGGCCAATGTGGATTCCTGAAAAGGAGGTTGCGTCATTGACAGTTCAAGTTTCTAGCAAACTAGAAAACCACTCAAGTGTCTGAATAACACATGCATGTATGACAAATCTCAATAGTGCATTCAATTCCTTTGTTGAGCCTTCTTGAACATAAAATAAACATGATGAGAATTTTTAAAAATCAAAACTCTGTCCATACAATGAAATCACACCTCTTCTGAAAAGATTCTCATATAAATATTAAACATACAAATAGCTATGCCACATCACTAGGCTCAAGGAACAATTTTTTAAAAAAATTTATACTCACTCCTTTTAA